ATCTCGAAAGCGACCCCGAATGACTACAGGAGAGTTGTTTTCGAGAACTCTCTGTTCCTCATCCCTTCCCGAGTGGGCTTTCAGTAATATGAACTGTTAATAAATGAATCAAAGCCGTATCAAAGAGACACACAACGAGACGCCTTCAGCAAAGCACAGCAGTTGGGTCTAGAATGCTGTGTTTTCGTGCGCTCGGGCGTTTACTGAGCTCCCCGCGAGGGCCGCCCATCGGGACACCCTCCCGACATCAGCCCCAGGTGGGACCGAAAGCCCGGAGCCCGTACTCAGCCCGCGATCCTGTTCGTCTGGGTCCCCGCCCCTCTTCTTCCTGCAGCGGCCACCGAGACGCACGGCGATGATGTAGATGTGGCTGAAGATGATCATTGGCGGCGGGAGGACGGGCCGGTCGTGGAACGTCATAATCAGCTGATATCGCTGGAATTTCCACACTTGGTTGGATATCGACTTCACCTCGAAGAAGGTGTTGCTTTAAAAAGAAGACATTTGTAGTTAGTCACGTCGCTTTCTGCCGCGATCACCCGGAGCCGTCGGTCGCTCACGTCGAAATGGAGAGACGCTCTGGATCGGCTCTGAGCGCCAGCTCGTGCCGACCGGGGCGGCCCTGTCTTTCGCGTTACCTGTCCGCGGGGGTCCTCTGCGATCGAGGACATGTGACGTAAACGATGAAGTGTGCCGAAATCGTCCCGTATTGACGATTTTTTATTTCCTAAAAAACCACACCGCCGTGTGGTTTTTGACGCCTGTGCCCGGGAAATTTTATTCCGCATATTTAAAGGTCTGAGCCATTCGGCTAAGCATCGCGAAGCATTGAAACGCCCGGCGCGGTCAAACCACTGGTGACCACCTTACTTTTGGTAACCAGATCGATTGCTTATTGACCTGGTTCGATCGAGTGCGTTCTCTCGGACGTTGGGCGCACGTCGACTTTGTGTTCTAGTTCCCAGTGGGAGACCGTGAGAGCACATTCGAAGGTAGAATTCTGGCCAAACACGCTGTCTGCTGACATGGGGACCTTAGAAGAGCCAGCCCACCCCCGTGACCTTTTTCCTCCACGTCTCTCAAAACTGGAGCTGGAACTGAGTTCTCACCAACGCCCCGGCGGGCTCTAAGACTCTGTGTTCCTGTGAAGGCTTCTTCCGTCTTATTGTTCATCTTAGAAGCTAAAATAATGTTTCTCAACATTCGTTAAGCGTGGCGCACACTCAAGACATCACGAGACAAAGGGCGAGTTTTATAAGAAGCTTGATTTTCAATGTGAGCCATTTTTTCCCCCTAGGCCATTTTATTTTATATGCTATAAACGATAAGGAAAATATTTTATGTCATATTACGGCAATCGTCACAGCTCATGAAATTAACTCTGCTTCCCGCGCCTCTGATAATGAATTAAAGGTGCGATTGGACCCAATCTTCTGTATGACGGGGGGAGCCATAAGCACACGGCCGTCGCCCGTGACACCTACTTGAACACCGCGATGAGCAGGTTCACCAGCAGGATGTTGGCCACCAGCAGGTAGCACGCCATGATGGCCGGCGTCAGCCAGGCGCCTGGGATGCACGGGGGCAGCCGCTTGCCCTCCTCGTCGTACTGGTTTTCCCCGCAAGGAGCTGAAACAGACGTTTGTCTTTTTGCACATGCTTTTTATGCGGAATGAAAAGAATACGTATAACTCGCGTATGCTATCCAGTGACCTATTTCTTTTAAACATTTTTTTTTTAATTTTTCCATTACAATTGATATCCTGGATGATATCAGTTTCAGGCGTACCACATAGTGATTAGATACTTATGTAATCGGTGAAGCCATCGCCCCAATAAACCCAGTACCAGTACGGTTACGACGCTCGACGTTCCCCAGTAGTTACAAAACGGTCACATCCCACGACCGTTTTGTAACTACTGGTTTGTATCTCTAAACCCCCTTCCCCCATCTTCCCGACCTTCCCCACATCCAGCAACCATCGAAAGGTTCTGTTATCCTGTTCTCTAAATTCTACATGTGAGTGAAATCATAAGGCGTCTGCGTCTCTCTGTCTGACTTAACTCCGCTCAGCACAGTACCCTCTAGGTCCACCCATGTTGCCGCAAATGGCATGATTCCATCCTTTTTCATGGCTGAGTAATATTCCTTCGTGTATGTATAGATGTACCGCCTCTTCTTTACCCATTTGTCCGTGATGGGCAGCCGGGTTGGCGCCGCATCCTGGCTACTGTAAACGATGCCGCAGAACTATTCCTTCATTAATATATATCCATTAGAAAGTTATCGTGTCTTCTAATAATCGAACATTCGCTTATGTTGTCTTTGGTTTCGCTCGCGATTAACTTTGAAAATACTTTTGTTATGGGGTCCCTCTACCCCCAGATCCGTTAATCGACTGTTCTGGTGCCATGTTTGAAAATTATCTTTTCTCTCTGCCACTTTGATCCCATGGGACCTATTTCCTGAAGACAAAGCTAGGACGATCCCAGCAGCGATGAGCGAATAATCTTCACGAATGTATAGTCTGCGTACTTCTTACTGACTTACAGTTTTAAAAAGTGTGGACAGCAGACAACAAGAAGAAGCATTTGCGACCAGATCAAAGACGATCGGTAATTAGCCGAAAGACTAATGAATACACACATTTCATGGACTAGAGCCAGCGATGCCGTGTAAACTTACGATTAATTTCCATGGCGTAGACTGTCCAGGGATCGGAGAGCAGGGTTTTATTTTTTTTTAGTTTTGACGGGAAGGGAGGAAACAAAGTCAAACGACAATTGAGAGAAAAGTAAAAGAAATGATTAGCGACACAAGAAATGCCAAGTATTCGAGCGTGGGAATTCCAGATTCGTACTACAGAACAGCGATCTACAGAGAAGAATCAGACTCGTGGATTATAGGAAACGTGTACGGATATCGTTTGGGAATCGTTATTTTACCCCGTGTCATAAGCCATAGCAAAAGCTCGGCGGTTCAAAATACTGTGACAAACGCACGAGCCTGCTGGCAGATGATCGTGTTAACGTACAGGTGGACTGATCAGGCGGTCCCCACACCCCGGCGCCAGCTCCTCAGAGGCACAGAGAAATACAAAGCTATTATGTAATAATCAGCCGAGAATCGAAAAGCTACAATTGTGGCGTTACTGAAAATAATAGCCTCGGGATTACCTTAATCTTCTCTCATTACCCAATTTAATAATAATAATAATAACAACAACAACAATAATATATATATATATTCAATAAAGATGTTACAACGTACGTCTGGATCCAGGGACTTTTAGCGTTTATGTGTGTTTCGTTAACATTCTTGTAACCAAACTAGACGTTTATGCCCTGGCTTCCCAGGCTGCATACACCTTCGACGACAGGCTTTGAGATACCTGTGTTCAAGGCGTGTTTTACAAGCTACATAGAAGGCCTCGTGTGAACCAGTTATGAGTCTGAGCTGGTGGCAGTAGCTTTAGTGACGACCCTGATGCTCTATGATGTGACGCAGACGAGGGCGAGAAGCCTCGTGCGCTGGTGTCACGTCGACCAGGTAGAACAGGTGTGAGAACGTTTGAGCTTCGCTTCCCTACAAGGCACAGGAGATGCTGCGACCGACCCGCTCGGCCTCGGGGCGGGGCCTACGGCCCCCAGAAGTCCCTGTGGGGCTGCTCCTGTCCTCTGTGACGTCCAGAGTGTTGCTGATTATTAAGAAAAACAGCACTCCGGCAGTAAAGGGGGAATCGGCAGCTGTGCGGACAGTGGGCTTCGGTGGCTTGAAGGAGGGGACGGCGCGAGGCACCAGTCACCCTGTCCCGGGACAGCTCACCGTCTCGTGGCTCTAGCACTACCGGCTCTGTCTTGGGGCGGAAAGGGGTTACGTGGAAGTGAAGTCGGGACACGGGCCCCGGAGCCATGTTCAGGTGCTGGGATGGCCACGGGGCCCGCCAAAGGGGGTGAGAGTCGGAATCTCAGTTAACGGCTTCTACAGTGGAGATAACGATGTCCCCCAAACTACACTTCTCGATGTGTACTCCTGTCTTCACGAAATGATCTGTCGCCTGTGGCAGGGTTAAAAGGCACTTCCTCCCCAGGGAACGGTGCTCCCGCCCTAACTGGGACCTGGTCGTCGGCCTCGGAAGCAGGGAACAGAACCTTACTATGGATTCTAGTCTTACGGTCTATCTGGTCCGCAAACACCTCCCCGTAGATCATCCAGTAGGGCATGTAGAAGATATTGCGGGCCAGCTTCCAGGAAGGCTCCTCGTCGGGGTGCAGAATGGCTTGACGGGCCACCCCGAAACTCATCAGCACCACCAGCATGATGACCACAAAGTAGAGCATGTCGATCATCTGAGTAGAGAGAGAAAACGTGTCTTATATGCCGAGTGCAGTGAGCTGTGCTCTGGTTGCTACGGACACTAAACTGGTAGAATCTCTACTTGGGACGTCCCCAAAGATGCCAGCCCTTGCCAGGATGAGCTACGCCCTATGCCCTCTCGCTCAAAGCCACTCGCCCTATAACGAAGGATCCCCAAATTTAGGGGACGTCCTTTCTCGGGGGGCCAGCCCTACCCCTGAAGCTCTCTCAGGCGAGGTCAGGACGAGCTGCTGGCCCGTTTTCAGTTTCACGGTCCGTGGCCTGTTGGGAAGGGAAGCGCTGCCCAGGACAGCGTGGACACGCTCGCACGGTGGCCGGAGCTCGAGTGCCGAGGGCGCCGGGGTGCAGGCGGGGGCCACCCCGGGCCTCCCTGTGTCTGGCTCTGCTCCGTGTTGAAAGCTTATCCATCAGGTCCCTGCCACGTGTGTGCGTGCATCCACAGTAGTCCCTCGACTCATGTGTGTCCACTGGATTCCATGAGGTCGCTAACCCGCAGGAGGACTGTCTATCTTAAAGCCAAAGCCCTTCCCGTAAGACCACCCCCGGCCCCCGCCCTCGCCACGGCTCCCGGCGGCCTCAGCACTAACCATCTTTCCGATCATCATCACGTAGGGCCCCAGGTACTTGTTGACACCGAAGATGTCCAGGACGCGGATGTACCAGAAGATGATGTCCACGCAGTAGATGACGCGGCCGTAGCCCATGTACGGCTGCCGCTGCAGGCGGAGGGCGGCCCCCACCAGGAACACGCTGATGGCCACCAGGTCGGTGATGTTCCAGTACTCCTGAAGCCACACCTTTATTTTCTGGCTGAGCTTGCCTGGTTCCGACATGAGGATCTGCAAACAGATGCGGGGGCGCAGTGAGCGGGGCCGGGTGCTGAGCTGGAAGCCGCCGCCTCCGAAGCTCAGACAGACGGCTCTGGCGGAACGTTCTGGGGCATCTGGCTCCCTGCCCTGCCCGGGACCTCTAAGCAGCGGGCTTCTCCGGGGAGGAAGAAGCCCAGAAAGGGAACAGCCTGGGATCCTCTGTCCTCGTGGGTTCGGCGTGGCCCAGGCTCTCAGGAAGTGCCCCCTGAACTGTGTCCTCCGGCTGCAATGAAAGCCGCTGCCTCTCGAGTTTTCCCCCCTAAGTCTCTGGACATGTGCCTGTCAGTCAGCCTGTCCTCCAGGAGGGCGGTCTGGAGCGGAGATGTCCCCGTGGGCTCCCGGTGGAGGGGACACAGGCGGGCTCCGAGATGCCGGTGTGCACCTTAGATGTGAGAGGTCAGGGGCAAGTTAAACCGGATTTCATCCTATTTAAGGTACTACCCTTCGAAAAATCACCCCTGATTAAAAATCACCCCTTCCTCAGGAAAATGGAAAGTGTTTATCAGCCGGCATGCACAGGCCCACACGGGCGAGTGCCATGGGCTGGGGGCCTCTCCCTTAGTTAGGGGGACGCTGCGGGAGTCCCAAGGGCCCCAGGGCTAGGATGGGTGCTGGCTGTTCCTCGGCCAACGCAGAGGGATTTAATAGTTTAGCAACCCAGGCGCGCCACCCGACGGCTGCCCCCTTTCCCGTGACTGGAGGGCAAGCTGGCATCGAAACGGGGTCCGAGCGCATGGACGGCACCCAGCAAGGGCACGGTGGCAGGCCCCTGGGGACCGGCCCAACTAGACGGAGAACGCAGGACTCGAAGGGGCGGGTCCTACAGCTCTGGGCCAGCACGCCTGCCTCCCCAGGCCCTCGAGCCCACGGCATCCAGCCCGCTCCGCCCGGGAGGAGCTGCCAGTCATGTGTTTTCAGCGAAAGGGTCAGTAATGATTACAAAACCGTCGCAGTGGTTCTGTATGGGCGGGAGAAAGAATATGCCTTCCTGAGGGTGCTTTTCCAGTTCAAGTTCATGTTTTCTTGGATGTAAGCTTTCTCTTTATAAACGAATAGAAGGAACTCAAACTCGCAGGTAACGTTAAAAGGCGCCCGGCCCACGCTTCCCCTGCCGCCCGCAGAGGCCACCCTCTCGGAGCTGCATGTTAATTTTCAGTCCTCCGTCATGTGAATCCTCTACGAGACGTGTCTGTCCGTCTTAACGCTTAGTTGAAACTCTCGTCCACTCGGTCAGTGGCCTGCCCAGATACCACGGATGCGTCCATGGGGTGGGGGGGTCGTGCCCAGTCCCCACCTGCTGCCTTGGGGTCGCTTAGCAGGTGCCAGTGACCCGCGGTATGGGTACAAAGTTCTGCTCCCCTCACCGAAGGCGGGACAGACCCCGCAGCGTCTGGCACACTCGAGTCCCCTGCGGGGTGAGGTCAGAGGTCGCTTCCACCGAAAGCTCACCTTGCTCACGCCCTCCCCTCCCTGGCCTGTCCCCCTCGGTCCCTGTGACTCCACGTGCACGAGAACGCCCACTAGGGCAGCGTGGTTCGGAGGCCACACGAGCGGCACGGGGCCTCCCGCGGATCCCTCCGATTTTACCCCCTCCCCTCCCTGGCCTGTCCCCCTCGGTCCCTGTACCTCCACGTGCACGAGAATGCCCACTAGGGCAGCGTGGTTCGGATTTTACTCTCGGCTCCCAGAAACGAGCCCGGCCTGCTCCCAGGGGACCGACTGGCATCTCGGGTCCTGGGCCGCGTTCGCCGTTGCTTTGCGAGGCGCCGAGACCCGTTCTTACCACCGACCACCGCGCATTTCGCCTCGTGTTTTGACTTGCAAGTTCCGATTCATTCGGACACAGAAGGCGTACGAACCTTCACTAAGCAAGGGAGTGGGGTAAACCTGGGACCGTGACGGCTCGGTCGGCAGGTCGCATGGCGCCGGTGGCGCGCACGACGTTTCGGCGCCCGGAAGCTCTGAGTGAGTCGCCGTCGGGGCACGGGCCGGGGACAGGCCCTGGGAACACTCGCCTCTCGGACTTTCTCCAGCGCCAGCGTCACGATGTAGGAGATGACCACCCACTCCTGAAGGCAGGGCCAGTGTTCCATGCGCACCAGGATGACGTAATTGAACAGCAGCAGGTAGCCCAGGTACGAGATCTGTCAGACAGGACCGCAGAGGAGGCGCTGGGGGGAAGGTTACGACCTCACCTTCGAGTTGGCGCATCTCCCAAAACCAGCGTTTTCTTTTCTTTAAAACATTGTTAGTTTTTTTTAGTTTTTAAAACAACGTTCAAGTACAGTTGGCCTTTGGGATTATTTTATGTTTGTTTTGGGTGCACGGCATCGTGGTTAGACGTTTACGTACCTCGGGGAATGTTCTTTCTCAAATAAAGTTCTTCCTCCCTACGTTTGTATGACTAAAGAATTCGAACGATTCTTCCTCGTAAGCAAACGACTATGACTATTTTGCTTGACGAAATGGCGCATTCGGGGCCAGGACGGCCCCATTCCTTTTTACGTAAACACGAGACAAGATATCTAGTCCCTATCCGAGGTGAACATCTGTTTCTTTTTCGTAGTTCATGTGAATGCGCTGAATCGTGAACCCGTTTCTAAGCCCTCGACGTTTTTGCTCGCTTTTCCCTTAAATTTACTGGGTAACGTCGGTTAACAACGTTATGCACGTGTCAGGTGCACTTTATGATACGACGTCGGTTACGCTATTGGGTGCTTCCCACCTGGTCTGCTCTGGCTATGACTTATCCACCTGTTCGAAACGGGGTGAATGGCACACGCTGAGGGGTGCGGGGGTGGGGGGCGGGACGCTTACTGTGTAAAACCAGAACTTGACGATGGGAGCGTTATAGAATTCACAGATCTTCGTTCCGATGGGGATGCGCCTTCGTTTTTTTAGCTCGTTCTCTTCATCCCCCTTCCCCGAGCCGGCGTCTGCATTTCCGTCCTGGAAGACAGAGCGTGTGGCAAGCGGGTCGCTAAGCAGGTAGGGCGACGGTCCCCAGCACCGTGTTTAACAGACGGGCGCTTCCGTAAAGTAAGAAAGAATTCGAGAAAATTCCCCCGATGACGGAGGTTCCCGAATTCACGGCGAGAGACATCGCAACGGTTTTGAAGATGAGGGCGGATCGATACTTTCAAATGTCACTCGCCTACGGCCGCACCGCCCCGAACGCGCCCGGTCCCGGCCGGTCTCGGAAGCTAAGCGGGGTCGGGCCGGGTTAGGACTTGGATGGGAGACCGCCCGGGAAGACGGGGTGCCATAGGCGTTAAAAAAAAAGCCATCGTCACTGACCGCGGCCTCCTCCTCCTTCTCCTTGCCGTCTTCGTTTTCTTTGGACGTTTGGTACGACAAGTCATCGTGCGTGCGGAATTCCAAAAGCAAGATGGTGGGGGGCAGGAGGATCCCCATTATCACCTGGGGGTGCGAAACGGGGTTTCGAGCTGTGTCGCCTGCCCGGATCGACATGTCCCAGAATAGGTAGCATTTTAAAATGATGACCTTCGACGTCACTCGACACGCTAGCCGCCCCGGAGCTTCCCGCCCACCCCGTGTTCTGCGGCGTGTCCCGTTGATGCGTCGGCAGAACTGCAGACGGTAAAAAATCTCATTATCACCTGGGGGTGCGAAACGGGGTTTCGAGCTGTGTCGCCTGCCCGGATCGACATGTCCCAGAATAGGTAGCATTTTAAAATGATGACCTTCGACATCACTCGACACGCTAGCCGCCCCGGAGCTTCCCGCCCACCCCGTGTTCTGCGGCGTGTCCCGTTGATGCGTCGGCAGAACTGCAGACGGTAAAAAATCTGGGAACGTTTGCCCAATTTTTTTTCTTTTTTAGATGAACGGCAGGCAGTATCGTGGGGAATCCTGACTTGAAGAGCAGAGCTATTCTATTAAGCTTCAAAACAGGTAAATCTTTAAATTAAAATATAATAAGATTATTATAAAAATATAATGATAAAAATAACTAACTAACTAACAGGAAAATACTTCTCGTGAGGCAGGCCAAAAACGCTTTGTATAGAAATCGCTTGGATGCGGATCGGGTCCCGGGCCCGCCGACGATCCACTTGGACCCCAGACGAGTTACCTCGTGGGTTTTCAAGTCCTGCACCTGCGAGACCATGGTCGTCACGGCGACCCTCCCCCCCATGGGGTCGTTCAGAGGGGTGACTGAAATACCCCCAGCGGGGCTCAGCTCCGCCAGGCGAGGGCCGGCCAGGGTCGTCACACGTACCTTGAGGCCGGGGTTCTTCCTCACCCGCAGCCGCCCCATCCACATGTCCGTCAGCAGCATCTGGCTGCAGGTGTGCGCGATGAAGTCGCGGTGTTTGGCGGCCACGGCCAGCTTGAGGCAGGTGGAGCTGCTCCAGTTCCTCAGCTCGTAGGTGAGCAGCTTCATGGCGATCTGCTCGTCGCGCTTGTACGACTGGTCCAGCAGCTCCACGGCGAGCTGGCCGAAGTCCCTGGAGGGCAGGAATGGGAGGCTGAGGCTGAAGCCACGCGTCGCGACAAGACGCAGCCACAGGGACGCCCCGGAGCCGCGGGGATCCTTCGACTTCCAGGAGCTCGTGGGGGCACAGCTGGCCCTGGGCTGGTGGCTCTTGCTGTACATGGAGCCTTAGGTGACCCCGGGTCCGTCCCGCAGGCCCCAGAAATGCAGACGAGAGGAGCTGAAGTCCCTTCCGTCACGTGTTCACAGAACAGGGCGCAAGCCCCTTGGGATTGGAAAGCAGAAGTGTGGCCGCCCTTTGGGAAGGGGACGGGTGGACACTGACGGGGGACATTGGGAGGGCTTGCCGCTGCAGGTGAGGTCCCGTTTTGGGATCCAGGTGCCGGCCATGCTGGTGGGTTCCAGTGGAACCGCCACTCACCGGCACAGACCTCGGGCCCAGCCCGGGGCGGCCAAACCTGTCCTGTACCGGACGCCCTGCTGGAGGCTCAGGGAGGACGAGCCTGAGAGGCAGAACCCCCGGGGCCGGTCTTGGGGGTGCGCCCGCTTTTGTGAGCTTCACCTCCGGGAGCCCCGGCCAGACCTGGGCGGGGGGAGGGGAAAAGGCGCCGTTTTGAAATATGCCAGAATATTCGGTCTGAGGCCAGCCCTCAGGGGAGACTGTGTGGCCAGAGCCCAGCTTGTCACGGCTTTATCAGCGCCTGGGTGGCCCAGGGCTGCAAAAATCCCCAAGTGCGGCCCACCCCAGCCGCCCCGTCCCCAGAGGGCGAGAGGATCTGGGTGCGCTGTGAGGTCAGCGCGGGGCGCAGCTTCGGCTCGCTCACCCCGCTACCCCGCGTGTGTCGCCTCTGTGCTGAGATTCTGTGTCTGTAGTTCCCATGGGGTGGTGGGGTGGGGGGCGGGCGGTAAACAAAGATGGTGACACCCAGCAAGGCCTCAGAGGGACAGAGGAAAAGTCGCACATGGCAGACGGAGCCATCGCGCACAGGCTCGCAGGGTCATCGTCCTGCCCCAGAAACACGCGCGCCACCCCGCTCCCCGCCCCCGCGGCCCCCCAGACACCCACTTGGAGTTGTTGTCCAGGTCCTGGGAGATGTCGTCCACCAGCTCGCTCTCGGAGGACTCGTGCGCCATGGACTTGTAGAGCTTGCAGGCCACCAGGGCCTTGGCCATGTTCTCTTCGCCACGCTGCCACAGGAAGAGCGCCATCCGCTGGCGCTTCATCAGCACGGCCCACACCATGAGCTCGTGGAACGGGTGCTGGAAGCGGCTGGCCGCGGGGTCGTCCACGTCCACGGCCGCCTCCTCCTCCTTCTTCTTCTTCTTCTTCTTCTTCCCCTTGGCGGGAGGCTCGTCGTCCTGACGGGAGAGAAGCGCGGTTTCCGCACACGCGTGCGACACGGGGGTTCGGGACGGCCCGCGAGGGGACCGTTCCGTCCGCGGGAGCGGCGAACCCTAAGGCCGTCGGCGGTCGCTCCTCGGTGAATTCATTCATTTGAAAAGATGCGCGTGTTTATCGCGGTCCGCAAACCACCTATAACCGCACGGACGGACTGCAGTTCGAAGATCTGGGCTTTTCCCTCCCGCCCCCCAGAATCTCTTGAAAATGGAGAAGATGCTGCCAAACCAGAAAACACCGTCACCGCCACCGCCACACTTAAACACTGCGCGGGACAGACCGGGCTCACGGGCTATTTCCTCGGGAACACCTAACGTCAGTCCTCGTGCCGGATGTCACTAAGCCGGACATGACCCGGGAGCAGAGGACAAGGCCTTGGGTGTCTCTGCCTCGCTAAGGGAGCGGACGCTCCATTCCGACCGCGTGCGCTGCAGGTGCACGGCTGATACAGCCCGTTTTCTAAAGCGGCCGAGAGGGGTCGTTCTGAACACGGGGAGAATTGGGGGTGAAGCGTGGGAGCGGCGTGCAGACGTGGGGGGCCTGGACTCGTCCGGGCCAAGGCTGCAGTACTCAGTGGACTGTCAGAAAGGGACGCGTGTTCTTTTGCAAACGGCTCGCCCACCCATTATCTCCTCTCGTTCTGAGAGGTGGAGAATTTCTTCCATTTCTTCGGGGGACGAAACCGTGGCTAAAAGATGAGCCGACTCGCCCACGATGACACAGCCGGAGCGCTGGGGACCCGGCTCTCTAATTCTTATCACGCGTTGTTTATGACGGACCCGATTTTTATAATCTCGTCGTGAGTCGTTCTAACATTTTTATCGAAACGATCGTATCTTGCCTCAGATTTACATGTTTTTGTTCCAATTTTCTAATTTGTCCCAGTAAAACTACACTTACGGTGACTGAGGATAAAATTTGACATTAGCTTTATTTTCGAGTGTATCTCAAACCCAATAGAAAGTCACTAATGGTCCGTGGAATGTTGTAAACCAGCCCTTTTAAGCCTACCTTTGAATAACATAGAATATCATTAAAATATTAATTGTATAGAATTCTCCTAAATTAAGTTTGAGTGACAGAGAATATAAAAATGGGGTACTTTATCTGAAATGGGAACTGTCACATATCGCCAAGAAATCAAAACAAGGACACGACAAAAGGTACAACCGGAAGTATTAAAATCGACCGATGCCAACCACAGTAAGATTCTCTAAACACACTCCGCTTAGAAATGAACTTGAAAAAGAATTATGTTTAGAAACAGATGGAATAACATCATTACCAATTTGATCTGACAGATAAATCTAAGTAAGAATTCTACTCGACAAACCGAGAATACCCATTTGTTTCCAGCGCACGTAAATCATTCATGAAAATCAACCGGGCATTAAACCCCAGCTCCTTCGAGATTTTCTGGCTCAGTGAATTCCAGGTACCAGAAATCACGTCAGTCTCCATTCAGGGAATAAAATTAGGTCGCAAAGATAGAAAATAACAAAGACAGCACACGTCTGTAGCTGGAAAATTTTAACTGATTATGAATAACTTGGATTAAAGAGGAAATTAGAAATATTTAGAAATGAATAGCGGTGAAGGTTCTATTTACCCAAACCTGTGGGGTACCGTGCAAACAATGCTCAGAGGGAAAAAAACTGTATCTTTAATGCATTTGTCGGGTACAGGGAAGATTGAAAATGAGCAAAACACACTTTCGAGTGGAGTCAATAAAAACGATACAGCAACTCTATAGAAAGTACACGGAAGAAATGAATACAAATAATAGCAGATATTCACGAAATAGAAAACGGAAAAAAAGAAAGTTGCTTGAGAGAGTAAAAATACCAAATATGAAGATAATTAAGAAAAAAAGAGAGGAGACATAAATTTTAAGAATCTGCAACAACTAAAGATATTGAGGAGATTTAAAATTTAGAAAACCATGTAAAAATTTACACCAGTGAACTTGAAGGTCTGGGCGAAATAAATTGTTTTCTAGGAAAATGTAAATGACCGAAGTTGACTCTAGAAATGCGGTGAAAGATAGCCCCCCAAAACGGGACTGGGCTCAGGCTCTTTTACAGGCTAGTTTTGCAAACCTTCACCCCACAGACAAAACCCTCCCTGACATAAAGGAGTAAACAGAAAATTACGGAAAGCTGCATGTCGTAACCCTCGCCGGGCCTCAGCTTACCCATAATGCCGACGGTCCATCTTACCTGTGGACCCAGAGTCTAAACCTTCTACCCAGAATCCATACGGAAGCGGAGATGCCCTTTAACTCATGAATTAATTTGAGAAGACTCTTTACCATAGTTTTAATATTCCGTGTTGCGATAGTTATTCATTTGAATATTTTTATGCCTTTGTTCTCAAGGTTATTTCTGAGTACTCTTGTCCTATTATGAGGGAAATTTTAGTTGGTTTTCCTGGGTTTTCTAGATACAAGATAATATTTTTTTTGCCCCTAATCATTTTTCTTCCCTTTTAAAGTATTCTTTCTTTCACGTTGATTTTTCAGGTGATACAATTTCCAGAACACTTTTAAAGACTAATGGGGATGATCATGATGTCAGCGATCATGGGGTCTTTGTCTCATTCTTGATTTTAGTAGAAACGACTACAGTGAACACTGCTCAGTGACAGGATTCTTCTCGCTATAAGATATGCATGCATCTAATCATATCGGAAAATATCTTTATTTTACCATTTATTTTATACCATCGTTTCCTTCCTAGTAAACTTATCTTTTTTTTTGAGTTAAGGAATCTATTTTATATTTTTTTAAAAATATTTTGAATCCGTCCCTCAACCCCCGTCTCTTTCGGTAACTAACCTATCAGCTAGTTCTCTGCATCTATGGGTCTGTTTCTGTTTCGTGTTCACTTGTGTTTTAAGATCCCACATACAAGTGAGATGATGCCGTATTTGTCATTCTCTGACTTATCCACTTAGTATAAGACCCTCTAGGTCCATCCATGGTGTCACTACTGGCACGATTCCATTCCTTTTCACTGCAGAGTCTGCGTTACATACCACATCCTCGGTACTCAGTCATCTGTCGATGGATATCTAAGGTTGCATCTGTAGCTCAGCTATTGTGAATAACGCCGCGATGAACATAGGGGTACATGTATCTTTGCAAATTAGTGTCTTTGTTTTCTTCAGATAAATACCCCAAATTGCTATTGCTGGGTCGTATGGCACCTTAATTTTAGATTTTTTTCATTCGTCTTTAGCGTCCGTTGAAAAAACGATCATGGCGAACTGTTCTCCTTCCTTGACTTATTGATAGGACGCACTGTATTAAAAACTGGCTAGCATTAAGTTACATTTGCATTCTTCGAAGACTACTTGTTTAGGACTTTAAAAATATCCCATCGAATTTCTTTCAGCGTTATGATTTTTATGTATATAAGGGGCCTTATTCTCTAGGTTTTTTTTGGTTTGATCTTTGCTTTTGAAACTATGGTTTGGCTAATTCTAGAAAAAGAATTGGGTAGCATTTGACTTTTTAAAAACGTCTGTGGTCTTTTATACAATTTGACTGAATCATCTAAGCAAATTTGGGGGTGTAGCGTAGTGGATTTTTTTCATGGAAAACAAACTCACTCCATTCGTTAAACAGATACAAAATGAATAGGGCTACATATATTTGGCCGAGATATAAAATTGTTGAAAACAAAGCCTACTTACTTCCATTCCCAGAAGTTTAAGAGCTTTAGGCTGCATAATAAAAGAGGAGAAAAAATTTAATGTCAGTAGTACTAATAGCAGTAGTATTGTTAGTGTGGTACTAATACCAGTAGTATTGTTAGTAGGAGACAATAATGGATTAATAATTAATGACAACAGCCAAGGAAAGGCCTTAATATGGAAACTCCGCTCCCGTCAGTTGAGGAGCAGGATGGGCAGACACGTGACCCTCATTCCAGGCAGCGGGGAGACCTTGGGGTACAGAAGTGTGGAGGTCGAGCTGTGGGCTCTAAGTGGGGGGCTTCAGGGGGGCTTCAGAGGAGAGCGCGAGGGATTTCGACTGGGAGAGGACACGGGGGAGGGGTGGGCACACTTGCACGATTTGATTTTGGTAGAGGTGCGTGGGCTCCCGTGACAAGTGGGGACGGCTGTCAGGCTGGGGGCCTCGGTGAGGTCATAATGAGCTTGGTGGTGATCGGGACGGCGGGGAGCGCTGAGTCTTGGGGTTGGGTACGCCATGCCCCTCGCTTTGGCACAGTAGGGTGGCTACAGCGGAAGAGGGGCTGGGGATGCCAGAGGCCCAGAAGCAAGGCTGCTGCGGGTCAAGGATGAGGCCAGAGCAAGTGAAGGGCTGCGCGGCCCGGCGCGCTCCGGG